GATGCATACAGAATCTACATTGTCCTAATCTGTATGCTTTTCACTGAAAGTCTGAGGGTCTTGCTAGGGTCTCTTGGACTTGTGCTTGGTGGATCACAAGAGAAATGAGGAACATAGAAGACACAAAGACCAAATCCAACTTTAATAAAGAAGGAAATAAAGGACTGGACTCATTGTGCATTAATTTTCCATCTTGTGAGCAAACCACTTTAGGCAATTTTATTCAAATGGAACCAACTTATCTATGAATGAGTCTTATAAGAATTGATATCTTTAGTGATTCTCCACTAGATGCATGTGTTGAATAGTACCTTCTGATAATTCATTTAAGTATTTCTAAAAGCTCCAAAATAGTTGTCATATTACCCTGACAAAATTTAGAGATACTGTTTTGTTTTTCTCATTCTTGCTCCATAGTGAATATTTAAGTTAATCTTAATTGTCAATTCAGCTCTATTAATTTCTGGAGAGGTAACAGGATCATAGGGGTGTTATATTCATCAGTAGATTAATTCATTGATGTTTCTTTATAAATATGTTGTTCAGCAAAGGGCCCAGTTGGAGGTGGGTCCCAGGGCCATGCCTTTGGAGGGCACATCTTATGTTGGCCCTCATCTGTGTTTGGCTTCCTAACTGTCACGAAATGAGCAGTTTTTCTGTACAATGCCCTCCCACCCTAAGGCTGCTGCTTTGAAACCAGCCAACCATGAACTGAAACCTGTAAAAATTAGACAAATCAAACTACTTCTCTTTTAACTTATGAATGTCAGGAATTTTGTCACATCAATGGAAAAGTTTACTTAATACAGAACAGAGAAGTAATATCATTTTCATGCCTAATTTCACCATACCTTTCAGAGCAAGATTCCTAAAAGATTCCTACTAAAGGAACTTGAAAATCTCTGGGAAATTGTGCTGGAGAAAACCTAGACATCTATAAGCCGAGCTTGTTAGGTGACTCTGATAGGAATTCAGAAACCCAGAAGGTTGACAGGAATGAGAGCAGTTAAAAATGTGCTCATGAGATTTCTAATGGGAACAAAGACTCCTTTGGGAATTGGCCTATGTGTCAATGTTATACTAAGGCAAAAAAGTTGTCTAAATGTTGTCCATGTCCTAAAACTTTGTGTGAGGCTGAATTTAAAGGCTTCAGACTAACTGATCTGCTGGAAGAAATTTTAAGGTCTAACATTCAGGCTTCAGCATGGGAATTGCTGGCTGCTTTCAATTAGATTTACAGAGAGAGTCATGAGCAAAAAAGCAGATCAGAGAGCATTGAAAAAAACTTAATTTTTAGCTAGAATAGAAGCATGTGAAATATTTCAGCTAGAAGAGGTGAGATTGCTAAAGAGAATAACATCATTACAAAGAACTTAATACTTTAAACTGGAATAAGAAGAAAGGTGCCATGAGGGGCTCTCAAAAATCAGCAAAATCCCACCTCAAGGGAATAAATGTGTCACCCCTTCCTTTGAGAAGAGAGGTTTAACCACTAGCCCAAATAGGGTCACTTAGAAATTGGTTCACTGTGATTCTTTTTTACCACACTCAAACTTCTAAGAATTCGGAGGTCACTGGAGCCATAACCCATGTGAGTCTGGTTTCTGTTCCTGCTTGAGGCTGAACTTGACATTGTTAGCTTGATACTAATCATGCATGCAAACAGAATGCAAGAGCTGAAGCATCAGTGGAATGTGTTGGTGAGTGACTGGTTTTAGCACTCTGGGAGGCTGACCCACAGGATCATAAATTCAAGCCTGGTCTGGGAAAATAAGCAATTTAGCAAAACCTTGTCTTAAAGTAAAATAAAACAAAATAATAAAATAAAAAATAAAATAATAAATTGGATTTGGGATATAACTCAGTACAAAGGGCCTGTGTTCAATCTCAAATAGTATGCGCACGCACACACATGCACACTCACACACACGAAAGGGTCAAAGGAAGGGTCAAAGGAAGGGTAGTGATTCCCAAGAGGGAAATGTGTGAAAGTATGGGAATGAAGCCAAAGGTACAAGGGAGACTCTAGGAGTTCAGAGGTGCCTAGGACAAGGGACATCTGCTGAGAAAAACTGCAAGCTGTCAGCAGAGCCAGTGCAAAGGTCAGGATGCCTGAACTGCTACTGGCAAGGCTGTAGGGGTGGGGTCCACATCCTCTGGAACTCATATCTATCAACAGGTGTCCTGAATGCTGGATACAGAGGTTTAAGACTTCATGTTTTACCCTGCTGGGTTTTGGTCTTGTATTGTTTGCTTTTTTTTTATTCCCCTATTTCTCTTTTTTGGAAAAAGAATGTTTATATTGTGCCACTGCATCTGTGAAATTTTTAACAAGTTCTGGTTTTCATAAGTCATGCAGCTTTGAATTTGTCAGTAGTTTCAGAGAAGATTTTGATTTAGAATTTTGAGCAATACTATAACTGTTGAGACTTTTGGGAAGACATCATCATATTTTTGGTTGTACCCAGCATAGATACATGTTAGGTGGAACTGTGATCTTGTTGTTGTATTTGGTGATCTAGTATGGTTTAACAAGATGTGAAACACCTGTTAAATTGTCAAAGGATGAACTTGTGTCAGTTAATATTAACTGCCAACTCAACACGAATAAGACGTGCTGCAAAAGTGTTTGACCACGGGGCACTATCCACATCAGTGGATTAATGTGGAATTAATAAGTAGGGACCAGTTGGAGGTCACTAATTAAGGTCACTTGGGATGTTCCTTGGGGAATATATTTTTCACTAGGACTTTTTCAAGGTGTGCTGCTTTCTAGCTGCCATGAAATGAATGTCTTTGCTCTATCATGCCTTTCTACCACAATATTCTGCCATTAAGGCAAACCTCTGAAACTGGTAGCCAAATTAAACCTCTTCTCCTTTAAAGCTGGATAGCAAGTATTTTTTTCCGATAATGGCAAATCTGACTAACACAGTGAAAATCTTAGCTGCTGTTGTTGTGATGTTGCTTATAAGAATATTTCATGCTATAAATAAAAAATAAAAGACAATCAGAAATACAAAATCAGCTCTGGAAAGAAAGTTTGAATGTAGAGTAGGGGCTTAGAGTGAAGAGAAAGAAATACAGTTTGCAAATATTTTTTTACCTACTGCCCAATGTTCCTTTATTATTTCATTTTTATATTCTATTGGGAGTTTCCATGAAACAGGGTGCTGGAATGTACTAACTTCTCACGAAAAGTTAGCTATCGTTTCATTATTTTTTGGCTTATACAGTAAAACACCAAAGACTGGGAAATTCCTACAGAATAGAACTACATTTCTCACTGTGCTGCAAGCTGGGAAGTCCAAGATCAAGACACAGCCACATTGGTACCTGATCAGGAGCAGGTCTCCACTTCCAAATACTGCCTTACTTACCGCACCCTCTGAAGAAAGAATTATAGAAAAGCAGAAAGAGTAAATGGTATTATTTACGGTATTAAATCTTCCCCAAAGAGTAGAGCTCAATAATGAAACCAGTCATAGAATTCCTGCTTCTGTACTATGATAGTTAAGTTTAGCATGAGTTTTGAAAGGAACCAAAACTCAAAATATAGCAACTATTTTTCTCCATTTTATTAGTTAATAAGCATTGCTTAAAATGTCATCTGTTTAGATGGCTGTAAATGAGTGTAAAATTTCATTTCAAATAAACTAAATGAAAAGAGAAAAGGTGCTGGGCCCCATTTACTGTCCTATAGTCACCTCTTATGACAAACAGTATAGGAATCCTGAGAAGATTCCGCAAGACTACAGGTTTAAGGTTGCAGAGCCAGCAAAGAGCGAAACTAGGCTCAGTGTGGTATCTGTTGCACACAGGGCTTATATTCCTTTCCATGACTGCATTGCTTCCAGTGTGCAAGTGACACCAATTCACAGAAGGGATCATAGTAAGACTTGGAAAAAACGTGTGTGCTATTGTGTAAGAAGGTTCTTTTTCATTGTTAATACCTAGAAAATTTTACCTCACATAAAAGTTCTCCTCTGATTGACTTAGGTAATTCATGTTTTCTGCATGTCATTGAATAGGGTTATCAGCATACAGTAAGAATAAAAATGTTTAAGAAAGTGCACCAAAAAATGAGAAGGAGGCTCTGTTCTGTCCCACCTTATACAACAAAAGCCCTTATATCAGCATCCAGAAGAACATGGATCTTGTGGACTGCTTGGGGTAAGGTAATTACTATTCATACTGTATTTCTGGGAGATGATTAATTCTTAATTTCAAACAACTGACTTATAAAGATGCTGGTAATGCATCCTTTGTTGTAAGTGGGGAATAGCCCAAAGTTTTCCCAATCACTTTCATAGTTTGATGGAAATTTAGGTAGTATTTGTGTAATTCTAAAGTAGAGCCTAAGTGCCTACTACATGATGACTTGCCTAAAAGAAGTAGCTTATCTAATTTTGAAAAGGGAGTAATTATTCTTAGTCATGCAAAAGAATCTTCATCTTGTATGAGCTTGGGAGACACATGGATAACTATGGCACAGTAACCGGGAGCACTGCAAAACATTAAATAGAATTAATTTAATTTAATGTGCTTTCTTCCACATTTGTCTCAGGGATTCAAGTTTTTGTTTGCTTGTTTGAAAGGACTAGAATTATCAGTTTTTCATCTTCCGAGCCTTGGATATCTTGCCTAACATTTCTTTGCAAATAGATAAAATTATTGGTAGGTAATATTATTGTTTACTAATCTAGGAGTCTGTGTACATGGTTATTGAACTCTCTGGCCTAAGTGGTTATTTAAATGTGCTTTTCTGTGTATGTAAATATTAATGAACTCTTAGACTATGACTGTGCTTCCTGCCATTAGAATGAATTGAAAAAAATCTATATTAGTCCTCACAAACAAATGATTTACTCAACTTTTAACTTTTTGATATAAAGTAAACCATCTCACTACAATAAGAAAATTAGTGAAGGAATTCAGAAGGGACTGTTTTTGAAAAAAATACTTTAGAAATTCAGTTCTTTTGATTAGTAATCACCCTTAGCAGCAGAAACACTTCAAAGTCTTTTCTAAACACTGAATTTTCATCAGTGATACTACAAGCCTTAGTTCTCATCTTTCATGCTTACCATTGCAATAACTTCAAAAGAATAAAATGAAAGGGTGGTAATCTCTCAAAGAAACCTTGTGTTCAGGCCAATAATTGGGCATTTAGCTATCATGCATTCACAACTAGATAATTGCCTCATTAGATTATGTTTTAATAAATATTATAATTGAAATTTATTACAAAAAACCCCCAAATACTCAAATCATCAGAAATGAAATCCGCAGCCCAAGGGATGTCTAGAAGAAAATGAAAAGGAATTAGATAACATCAAATATGGACATCTTCAAAGGTAGAGATCATGTAAGCTTGCCTTTTACTTACTGAAATATGTTCTGCATATTTTATTGTTTTTGTCATCTTGCTTGTTATAATCCAGCTAGTGAATGTTCAAAGAACATAAAATCCTACAAATAAATAAACTGAATATGAGTGCATGTACAAAAAGGGAACAATTAGGATCAAGAGTCTGACATGTAAGCTTTGATTATATAAAATAATTATATTTCCCAGTAGCTTTGCAGTAATATCTCATCAATAAAAGAAAAAATGAAAAGCTTCAAGGTTTATGACACTTGTTAAAATTTTTCAGTATTAGTAACCTGGAAAGCTTATCTAAAACAGGCCATTAGTATTAGTCAAAACTGAAGAATTAGATTGTAGACATTCAAGGTCAATATAGGAGGCTATAATAACGAACAATCTATGAAATTTACGTACGTACACAGCATGTAATTTTTCTGGAAAATGCATCTGAGAAATTGTTACAAAATTACAATGACAAAAAAGTGCCATTTTAATATTTTTTTTTTTTAAAGAAAGAAGTCATTAACTACTCTTCGTGTATACGTCTCTCCTTTAGGTCCTGGAGTTTTAAAGTCATCCTTTTAAAAGAATAAGACATTATACGGATCAGTATTTTTCAAATTTATATGACATGGAGGTGTCGCTGGGGTCTCTTGTTCACACTTTTCACTCTGGTGCATCTGTGCCTGAGATTTTGTCTTTGAATAAGATTCCAGATTACTTTACATCTCTGCTAGGTACTGAGAAGAACGTAGATCAACATTTATTACACATTCATTTTGTCAATCTTTCAAAGGTTATGAACAAAGAATAGAGAAAATACATGTTTAGGAGAATCTATATTTAGAAATCTTCTGAAAGTAAATCATAAAACTCACTAAAGAAAAGTAACGTTTAAGATAGAGAAAATGTAGTACCAGTTTTGAAAGTATATATTTGTCATTAATCTCTTACATTAAGTAGGTAAATAGGTTACATTTTAGATGATCTATTTCTAACAATTTATTTTTTTGTACTGGGGACTGAACTCGTGATCTGGCACTTGCCAGGCAGGTGCTTATGCTGCTGAACTAAATCCCCAGACCTCTAATAATTTTCTTATGGGGTGTTTTGAGACAAGGTCTCCATATGTAACTCAGGTTGGCCTTGAACTTCCTAGGTAGTCAGGTTGACCTCAAATTCTCAGTGATCTTCCTTTTCAGCAATAGTGCTGCTAAGCATGCAAGTGGTGCTAAGCATGCACCACTGTGCCTGAATAAATTTTCATATGAAAAGTAAATGTGGGCATTAATCAGAAAGCTCTAATGAAGTTTTTGGGGCAATGTTTGTGTGTGTGTGTGTGTGTGTGTGTGTGTGTGTGTGTGTGTATTTGGAGAGGTTGGTGATAAAGTACAGAATGATAAAAAATTGAAAGTGTAAGGGAGGAAGTAATACAGAATTTTTATGTGCAAAGAGATTCAGAAACTCAATAAATATTAGGTGACAGGTAAGAGTGACTCGAATTGGTTTTATTTGAAATGAAAAATAGAAATTGAGTTTAAATTACTAAATATTAGATGTAAAAACACAGCCCTCTTTACCTATTAATTCTACCTTCTACCAAGGAGGGGGAATCAGGATGTTAAAATAATTCTTATAAAGCCCTGAAGAAATCATTCCAGCAGGTAAATATCTCTATTTGTGTACTGAACTCTGAATGTTAATCAGTGATACGATTAGGGCACTATTTTTAGTTTATTTTTCCAGTGTCTTTGGAGGAGACTCAGTGAGCAGGGCTGATTTTGTTCAACTGCAGAACACATCAATATACCCATAAGACTTAAAACCTTGAAACCTGAGGAGTAAAATACAAGGAAAAATGTTCATTCACTTAATAATTACACGAGTTTATGAATGCATTAAAAATGGTATTTTAAAAAGGAGATATCAAAGGGTAGATTAGCAACAGGGTTATCCAAGTGCTTCTACACAGTGTTTTTTACTTTTTTTCATCAGTTTCTAGATACTGTAAGACATTTTGAAGAAAATTAGGAATGGGAAAGAAAGAACAGGATACATTTTTGTAATAATGGCAGCTGGAAGCTATTAACTTATCTGTGACATCTAGTGTGTCAGTCTTCAGATTGGAAGGATGAGAAATCTGTACTCTGCATATTCTGCATATAATCTGGCTCATTGTTGGGCAATGAAATAGTTCCAGTATTTACCCAAGATGAATCACATAATATTAATGTTTATATATTTTTCAGTTAAAGTGTCACCATTCTCAAAACAAAATTGGCAGTGAAAGGGAAGCAAAACTCAGGTTTTTAGAAAATGAGAAGGATCTCACGGGGCTACCTTGAGAGGGACTGCCTGTTTATTTTTGTTTTTGTTTTTGTTTTTTTGCAGAACATGGGTTAAAACTTGAGCTTTTTACACTAATTCTTAGCCTGTTCTTGTTTTTCTTGAGATGAAGTATGGTTAGTTTACTACTATCTAGCCTGACCCTAAACTTTCAATCCTACTGCACCAGAGTCCCAGAGTGATGAGATTATAGGCGTGTGCCACTGTGCTTGGGAGAGAAATGTAGGCTTCTAAATTCTGATTTCTGAAGAATAGGAAGAGAAACAGATTGGTCCTAAACTGGCCTTCCATGCATGAGGCGTTCTCTGTTGGGCAGAAGTCAGATCCATCCTGGGATTGCATCTGTGGCAATGGACAGATGAGAAGGAAACTCACTTGAACTCACTAAGAACATACTTACAAAGAGAAAACAAGCACCAATCATCGCTGCTTTAACCGTCACATCGAGATCTGCAGGGACATGGATTCCAAAGTTGTCAGCGTTTGTAAAAACATCATTCACAAATCCAGACCAGTACTTTGAAATCTTCCCAACTGTGAGCTTTTCATTAATGGTTTTCACCTTTGAAATAAAAATATGAGATATTAAATTTGAAGATAAAAAGAGATGGTTTTGTGTTTCTTGATATGCTTACTTCACAAGAGAAACGAATTATTTTATTCATCATCACTCAGTAACAATTCTATATTACTCATCCCTTTATGCATAAGTTTGGAAATTTAACTTTACAGCTCACAATCCAGGAATTTTGACTTAATGGGCATTTTCTAATCCACCATAAAACCTTTTTATTTTTTTTTTCTTGTATGTAGATTGAGAATATAATGACAATAAATTATTAAGGCCAGGCAACCACAAGATGGCAGCAGGTACACCATTCAATTATACAGTGTAAACATGAAGGAATTCTTTTACCTGGGATCTAGATTTTAAAACTGAACTCTCCAGTCATACGTATCTATCAACTAATGTTTTAGTATTATTAAATCATTAAAAAACACAGATTGTTAAATTGGCTTTTTATGTTGTACTGATGACATTATTCAATGCATTTCTTAGTCTTATTTTAACATTAAAAAACTTTCAGAGCTAATGGACACGACAGGAAATTCCAACCAACCTGACATCAAAGTCTGTCAGTCTTTTTCAAGAGTCTGCAATTTAATGAAGCATTTCCTTATCCCATTTTCCATTATAATGATGAATGTTATTTAATATGCATTTTAACATTTCATGTGGTGGTAAAAAAATAATAATTGAGAGAAAGTGATTTAGGATATTTCAATACTATAGATACTAAAACTTTTCAGGTTAAATTTTACTTAAGAATATTGTTCTAAAATACTATGCCAAATTCTTTTGGAATAGTTGGAATTCATATTGCACAGTTTGTAATGTATATTATGTGAATTGTTTTTAGTGGAGTTGTGACAATGGAAGGTCTCAGATGATATATATATATATATATATATATATATATATATGAATGATATACAAATGTAAACTTTAAATTAGGTTGTCTCCGCCTCCTAAAATGTATGTCTATAGAAATCTGTTAAGATACTTTGTATTATTATGAATTGAATGCAATTATTAATTTCAATATTTGATTACAGAAAACTGACTGAATTTTTTTACAGAACAAATTTAGCAAATCTTACATATATAAGCTTTTAAAATCAGTAATATTCTAATGGAGTGTACCTTTGAAATGAGAGGTAGAGTAGGCTATGTGACCACCAAGTCTACAGAAAATAAGACACATAATTTGCTGATTTCTAAACTACATAAACACATTTGCTTTTGACAGTGTGTATTTGTCACTTCACCTACTTCAAACCATCAGAAATGTTATGTAGCACTATTTTTGAAATCAGAAAATACTGGTTATCTGAAAAAGCCAAAATTACATATATATGAAAAGATTGGTTTTTGAAGGCTTAGGTTTTAAAATATCAGGACATTTGCTATTTCAATTGAGAAACTATAGTAGTTTTATCCATTGCAGTTAGCTAAATATATTTTTTAAAAAACCATTTTTGATAGCCATATTTTTGACTAAAACTTATAATCTACAATAGAGATCTTTGTCAGTGTATCTATTAGAGACAACATGGCCAAGTTGGTATATATTTATGGTGTTGATATTTTTTGATTCTTGAATTTAACATCTGGAATTATAAATTCACATTAAGGGCACAAACTAGTAAGTTTACTAGATTATTTTACTATAATGTTCTAAATTTATTTCAGGGATGTTTTAGGAATTTTGTAGAGACTGAATTATGTTGTAAAAAGTCAGAACCTAAATGAAAACTTTATTTTGTCAATAATACCTCAAAATCCACGTCATCAAAACAGCCACATGTTGCACAAGGACCAACAATTTTCAAAATATCTTCTTTGTTTGCATTTTGGATTGTGAATTTAGGCTGAAAGGGGTCCCACTTCTGTGCAACATAAGCAACTGTAGTACCAGGAGGGGCTTGTATTTCTAACTGCAAAAAACGTAAAAATAGAACAAAATTTTTGAATGTTATTACATTTAAATGCATTATAATGAAAATTTACCTGCAAATAGCGCCCTACTGGGTTTGCAAAAGTCATTCTAAATATTAATTCTGACAATTATTAAGCAGTGGTTTTTCAACATTTTTGTAACATCTTTGTCATAGACACAAAGAAATTCTCTATGCAGATATGTATTGGTCAAGCATAGATATCCCCATGTGGTAACTCATAATATGTCCTCTGAGATACAGTCACAATGTACATCTATTTTTTTAAGCCCTTTTACCAATTATTAAATGTTCATCTTTGTTTTTCCTCTTCAGATTGTCAACCTTCAGATTCTTTGCATGCATTTAACTAAATTTTTTTTTTAAAGCTTCAGTTATCGAACAAACACCAATTTGATTGTTGGTTAATATCTTTTAAAGTATTAACACCAGAAGCTCACATTTTTAGGCACAACTTTAGTATTTGACCCCATTACTTACATATTTATATAATCTAAGTCTAATCATTTAGTAATGTAAATCAGGGTGGGCACAAATAAAAAATATTGTTTGCTTTTAAACTGAAACAGCTTTTTATCATCTAAACTTTTCACCTTTCTTACTAAGCTCACACACAGGCTCATGTTCATATCTGTGGTGTAGTTGGATAAACAGAAGTGGGTTTACTTGACTAGAATTGCACATACTTGTTCTGAGATAATTTCTAAAATAATTGGTTTGATTTTGAACAATTTAAAAAAATCAGTGACTATCAAGATGCATCTTATATTTTTATGACACTCAGCTACCATGTGGATGTAAAATATTAACTATGAAAATTTAAAAATGGATGTATATTCATTGTTATTGATTATATTATCTTGGAGTTTATTAATCTTACATAGATGCTCAATAGGAAGATGAAAATTCTTAGGCCTTTTGACTGAGTACTTTAGCCATTTTATCACTTAATCTAGTGCTTGTCTATAAATAGTTGGAGAATTAACTTCAATAGATATTGTTAGTAACTTCCTCAAGTAATCACCTTTGATATTAATATTTGCCATTGTCCTAAGGATATTATGGATACACAGGTCTTCAATGGAGAAGCTTCAGGTTAAGTTGGGACATCTAAATCAAGTTTCGTGATTGGCATTTACTGAATGTATGATCATATACAAGGCACCTCCTCTGGTTGCCTTCATTGCAAGATGTACAGAGTAAAATCAGCTCTATGTCACAGGGATGTCATATCAAAGTAAGTAAAATAAGCAAAAGTTCTGCATGAATTCAGTGACTTAATTACTTGTACTCATGAGACTTATTAATAGGTTTATTGCATAATGATAAAAATCTATCTTAAAATAAGATAACTTATTACTGTCTCTAGAATAATAACACTGCCTTTGCTAATCTTGACCTGGAGTTTGTCATGAATGGGCAAATGGCATGGGAAATCCCATGTTAAGTAACACCTGATGAAGAGAACATTTTAGAGCACTTTAGTGTCATTACCAATGTATGGGCTTTGCTACTGTTAGGGAAGCCAAAGGTAGTTTTGTTGAATGGTGAAATTCGCAGATGTTACAATTACATGGCTAATGCAAAGGTTAAAGAGAATGTGTCTCATTTACGTGATACATGTGCTGTCCTTGTCATTTAGCATCACAGAAAGCCATCACAGTTTTTGGTAGGCAAGGAATAAACTTCAGTGGCTCACCAAATCCTCAAGCTGTTCTGATATTAGGACACAAGACACAAATTCAAACAAAAGTTAATTGCCTCGTAGCTCCAGACAAAAGTCTTAGAGAAATAATTGCTAATCTTAAAAAATAAAAAGTCACTGGGAGCCAGCAACTAACCTCTTGTAGGTAACAAGGACACCAGCAGCTGTTACATCTTAAGGGCCGATTTACTGTAATCACCTCTTGATCTGAGTTATCTGTGATTTTCAGGGTGCAGGAACGCAGTGTGGAACAGAACGTACGATTAAAACAGAGGCTTTCTTCTACTGCAAAGTAAATTCTTTGTCCCAAACTGTTTTTAATCTCATATTTGTTGGAGGTCTCAGTGCCAAGAATCACTAACAGAGAAAGAATATTTTACAAAATGATGCATTAATATCAACACTTTTAAATAAGTAAAGGGGAGGGAAGGTGTTTGTTAATAAAAATAAGGAAGAGATTAATTATTGTATACAAATTTACTTTCATGCTTTAAGTTTGGAAGACTTAGCCATAAAATTCTTTATTAAACTCTTGAAATAAAGCTATGTGATCAATTTATTTTGATTCAAAATTATGAACAAAAATATGTGTCATTTTAAAAATGATCAGTACTGTAAAGAAGAATCTATGACTAAAAACTAATTCTATCACTATTATGCAAATATTGGGTACAACTTACAATCATGATAATGATTCTGTCTAAAATTTCTAGTAATATCTCCGCAGCTGTGTACCATCCAATTGTGTAAATTTTGACATAATTTAGAAATAATGTATAGTATTATGAATACAAAATACCCAAGTAAAACTTGAAATCATTATAAATCTGTATACTGATAAATAATACAACTGTTTAATCACTGACAAAACAGTAACATTTTGATTTGATGAGTTTTTATTATTGAATCTCATCCTTGATTTCTGAAGCTGTTAAGAAATTTAAACAGTAACTTTCATGGGAATTATCATGTCCCTTTAATTATTTGAAGATCAAATACAGTTTTAGAATTTGGCCTGAAATAACACTAAAGACTTAGAGATATCTGTATTTTTAGTTTTATTTAAATCACACTGATCATTTTACTTTTAGCTTTTATTAAAAAATAGTTCTCCTTTTATCTTATTTTACTCTACATGTTTAACATTATTATTTATAATATTTTTAGTTGTAAAGAAACTTCCGAAAACTAAAACATTTTCAACAGTTTTAGTAAATGCAGAATACAATGTACTTACTTCCAAGCAGCTCCACCTGCTGGTGTATAATTATCAGGTCTAACTGTTAAAAGATGACACAAAGGAAATACAAACCATTATATCACAACATGTCACAAACCTTTGGAGAAATTACCATTACCCTACTTCTAACACTACATGAAATTAGATGATTTTTGAGTTTGCTACTAAACTGGAATTATATCTTCTGACTAAAACAAGGATAAATGTGCTATACTTTTGCAAAACTGTACATAACTTAAACTTAAAATTCCTAGGTAGAATTGCCAAGAATAATGATGGTAGTTAACTTTGTGCTTTTTGTGTTTCTTAATGGGAAAAATTTTGGAAAAGGCCTAAGATGTTTCAAAATTTCCCACAATTTAATTTGGAAATGAAGAAATGTGATAATGATTTGAATGAATGTCTAGCCACCTTACCTTATTCCCTAACTCTATGATCAAATTTTTTCGTTTAAACTGAAAAAGTTTATTTAAAAAGTATTTCCCAGTCATACTTTCCTTTGGGCTAGGAAAGTCTGTAAATGCCTACACAATATTAATGTAAACAAAAAAGAGTTCTGCCACTGAGTATGTGATATTTATCTTCTGTAATTGAAAATAGAATTTATTTGCAGAGATTAAGTATCTATAGATAACCCAAAATGACTGTTAATTATGCAATGAAATAGTCTTTTTGTTTTGTTTTGTTTTTTGTCTTTTTGAGACAGGGTCTCTCTATGTAGTTCAGGCTGCCTTTGAGCTCACTTTGTAGCCCTGGCTGTTCTCAAACTTGCAACAATCCTCCTGCCTCAGCCTCCTGAATGCTGGGATTACAGGCATGAGCCACCACACCCAGCTCTGAAATAGCTTTTAAAAGGAAATATAAATCATGTATTCTTAGAATAACTTTGTGAATATTGTAAATTTGATCTTCAGTACTTAAAGATCCATTAAAGCAAAATCTAGCACACTATTGTAACTGTTGACATTTCTAATTTCACTTTTTATTTTACCTTAAAATTTCATTCACTTTATTCTTTCTTTATATTAATAAACTCACCAGAATTGTTAAACCAAGCAAATCATTGCTAAAATTTGACACTGACAGGACACTGCAAACACAGGAAACGTGAAGCTATATTATTTCCCTTATTCTCCTTGAATATATTGATATATGGGTAGGAACAATGTTACTTTCTCTTTTTTAAATGTTAGCAATTAATAAGAGGCTACATGTCATCACTTTTTTGGATTATGTTTAAAAGTTTTCAGATATTTGATCTAGAATATGCTGAATCTATACTAACAATTATGATGAAACACTTTTAAAAAATTAGAATAAGTCTTTTACAGTATTGCATTAGTTCTTTTGAAGAAATAGGGAGCTTGAATAAAGAAGAGCTGAGCCTCACAGAAGATACACACGATATTTTAGCACTGCATCTCTACAGAAGTAACTTAGGAATGGAGAAATAAGGTGTCAGGACTAACATATTTGAGTTTAGAACTCTGAATGTTGGTGTTACAGAACAAATGTTCATCTTAAAATTTTGAAATTCCTAATTGTTCTATTCTCAACAATGAATACCTCTCTAATCGCTGTTATCAAGTGACTACCATCCCTGTGCTACAACACAATATTGAATAATCCTCGCAAAAATTCGAAGTGATGGATAAGATTAAGAAATTTACCAAGGTCATAAAGCATGTAAATTGCTGGCAAGTCTGATATGACTTCTAAATTGACATGTCACTTACAGTCATTCAATTTAGGAATTAGATGACATAATTCTTCAGTGACACTGTGAAATGTGAATGCCTTTACTTCCTATTTTTCTTTAATACTTGCTCTGTAATAAGATTTGATCTGATTTCTCTTTGTGGGCAAATCTGGATTTGAGGGTTTTGATTTTTGTTGTTCTTGTAGTTTCTTTTAAGTAGCCCTGAGCCACTTATAAATCATGGTCCAAATGGATCCCTGCCATTCTTTTCTATTGGTTGATGAACTAGGAATTGATGGAAATTTTAAACAGATTGAATTATATATTCAGGTATCAGGGCAAGTAAAGTACTCCTTAAGAATGAAAGCTGTAGAAACGAAAATACAACGACAGCCTTGGATACACAGCTTGACAATCCTTTTTCAAAAAAAAAAAAAAACCCGGTTTACAGATATCATTGATTCTTTTAATGCTGCATATATATTTCAAAATAATTTAGATATTTACGTGTTACTTTAACTTTTCATGTCTATGGGTGACTAAATTTTAATGATTCGTTATTGCATAATTATCGCTAATTGTAATTAGTTATAATTAGTTTTCTAGCTTCGTATTATAAGATAAAAATGTTATTAACTATTATGAATATATAAATCCAATTTACAAAGAATTTATTAAGTTTACCCTTAGCTTTATGTAGCATTACATATGTATATATTTTCAAATTGTTTATGAAAGTATCTTTTTCAGCAGTGATTGGGTTGACTTCTTTCCTAATAATGTAAAATTTTAAGCAATTGTCTAACTTTTTATGTAAGAAGGTTTTTACTGTATGATTTTCTGTGTATTTATTGCGAAATTTACTATTTCTAAATGTTCATTATTTTATTTAATTTTGAGTTCAAAATTAGCACTAAAAATTTATGTAAAAGCTCATGGCATAATACTTTTGAAATGCTCATTCATTCTTTTATATGTGCACTGCTTCAAAGTAAATAGATGTTCTTTTAATATAAAGTAAGTTATTCCCTTTAGAAGGAAAATGTTCAACAATTTGTGGCATATTTTATTTTCTGAAGATTCAGGGAGGTGTACTTTTAAAAAATGTACTAAATTTTGCACTGAATCCATTGTGCTCAGATTTTTATATATTGAATATTAAAAAAATGTATTCATGTCTAGCATCTGGCTCCGGGTGTGTCATCACTCATGGATGGAAGAAGAATATGTGATGACCATATGTGATCATCAAACCTCAGCCCTCTGGCACTGGTATATCACTTTTATACTTGGCAAAACCTTGTCTGACAACATTCCCAAACAGCTTGCAGCAGTTAATCAACTCTAGTCAGCTATTACAGCTGATCCTTCCTGCAGATGGAGGAGGGTAGGTTAGCATTTCCAGCTCTTTTACATATCTCCCTGAGCTCTCTAGTCTCTAAAGTACATTTGTCTGCCAGTGGGTTTCTGGAGAAGGCATCTGCAATTATAAACATTTTCCCAGGAACATATGCTGCATGCAGCTTAAACCCTATCAGGCATAACAGAAATCTCTTGTACCTTAAGGGAATTAACACAGAGATTTGATTTTGATAAAAGAGATAGACTTTATAGTTTGAAAGAATGCCAAACAACTGAAAATCGCAGCAGATGTGCTGACATCTCAATATTAGTGTAAGTGCATTTCTAATCTTTGTAAAATAAAATACAAATATATATATATATATATATATATATATATATATACATTGCAATTGCTGTGTATTTGTGATATAATTCAGATGATGATCTTTGTTAATTGAATTATTTTAAGGCTTGAATATGCTGCTTACTCTGCAATACTAGAACAGTGACCACACCTGACGGTAAATATCTTTCAAGAAAATTGACCTGGAGATGCATTGGCAACAGAAGACAATAATGGTAAGCTGATAACTTGCTTTCCCTTGGATTTTCATCTTCCTTCGGAGATTTGGTTGAACTCTCAGCTCACTGCAAGAGTCTTCTTGAGTGTTTAGGGCTTTAACAATCTTCTTTGTCTCTATACACATGCATATGTTAGAATTGTGTGCTTATTTGAGTTTATGGCTTTTGCAAGGGAGAGAGGGATTGAACCTTGGCTTCTCACATGCTAAGCAAGTGCCCTAGCATTTGGAGCTATGTCTGGAGCCATTTTCAAATATTTAGTTTATGATAGGGTCTTGCTAAGTTGCCTAGGTTAATAACCAACTTGTGATCCTCTAACTATGTCTTATAAGAAGTTGAGACTGCAGATGTGTGCCACTGCATATAGCAACCTGGCCTTTACATAAATCCTTTCACTTCTAATCAACAACTTTTATTTTGAAAATTAGGTAGCAAAATTTTGGGTGAGAGAGGCTATATTTCATGCTTTTTATATGCCTTCAGTACAGCAAGTACTCAATAAATATCCTTTTAACTGAATAGCTAGCTGTAGGTGACTAAGACATATTAGACAATTCCTTGAGGATATATTTGCCAATACCTGAACAAAGAACAGAAGGTAGATAAATGTGCTAAATACTCTATAAAAATATTAGTTTTGTCACTCTGTCAACTAAATGAAGAAGATAAAATTAGCAACAAAATAACACAGATTCTTCCTGAATAAAATAGTTTATAATTTCATGATTTATAAAGCCTTTCTTAGTTCATTAAATTATTGACTGAAAAACAAGAAACTAAGCTTGTATTAATTTTAAGGGGAAAACATTTATAGAAATAAAAAAGGCATAAACACCTGGCTTAAATATTCTAGACCAGAAGGCACACTGACATTTGGCAGGAAGCTGCTTGGTGGATGGGGTTCCGGCTGCCATACTTGGTTTCCTGGAGTAGAAGAAGGGATGATTCGGTTTTGGTCTGGGTCTGGAATTCCAGGAAGAAAATGACGTAGGCCTTTACTTTTTTGTTTCTGTGTATCTGCAAGACAATAAAAATCTCAACACTTATTTACAGTTAGACTATTTCATGTAATCCTTCTTAATGTATTTGTCCATTCTAAATTTAGATGGTAGATTATCTGTTGTGTCTTACTTCTGGACCTTTTCCTTTATTTTTAATGCTCATTGCTAGCATCATTGGATCCTTAATTCAAAGAAAAAACAATATGAAAGACTACTGTTGGCAACTTGAGAAAAATTAAAATAATTTGACTAAAGGAATTTGACTAAAGGACTTAGGTGTGCACATGTCTTTAGGTGTGAATCACATGAAATCTCCATAGTATTTGCAGTACATGATTGGTTACAATGCTAGTAGATGATATTTGACTTTATTTCTAGCTGTTCTGAAGACACATGAATAGGAGACACCAATAAACTGGGACTAGATTAACACAAAGGAAATTTACAACAGCTACACAGAACTTTGAGTAAATACCCTCATTACACATATACTTGGACTGGAGTGGCACACATATCATTAACAATAGATAGGGGCTGGGGATTTAGCTCAGCGGCATAAGCGCCTGCCTTGCAAGCAGCCAGTCGTGAGTTCGATCCCCGGTACCGATAAAAACGAAAAAGACCAAAAAAACAAAACAAAACAAAAAAAAAACAATAGATGCTGTGGTTTACCTTCAACCATGACACACAGTTCATGAAAGTTTGTTTGTGTGAGGAGGACTTGATTGTACCTTTTAAATCTGGAAAGATGATAATAGTACAGTTTCGTGGACAAATAACATCATAAAGTTATAAGTGATATCTTTGAATGTACTTGAAAACTATCCTAAAAATGTTTTAGGTAAATAATCATGATAATTTGACTTGTCTTCTCAAACAAGAGTGCTAATTCCAAATGTAGCTGCATTACCACTTCAATTTTTTTAAGTAGCATAGGATCTGTCACAGTTATTTTATTCAAAATGCATGTAAAGTATTGTGAGTAGAACTCAGAAGAACTGTTAATTTTCTGCCTCAAGTTTTGTCTCTAAGTTTAGTCTTTATCATTACTAAATATCACTGCCTTTTTGGTAGATTAATCATAGTTTGATCATAATATTACTTTCTAGTCACAAGTTTCTTCAAAGTCCCAGACCACCAGATAAAGAAGGAACTCCTTTGAATTTCTATCCGGCTTTGAATTTCTATCTACTCTTTTAAAAATGTATAACTAGCTTATAAATATTTTATACACTCTGCAAGTCTTTACCTTACAGGCTACTGTGTTCCTGTAACTCTTATTTTTTAAGGCGATGAAACATTTTGGACTAAGTGTTAGTGTCAGTTAAATGAAAGAAAAAACTTGTGAAGATTTTTGTTTATCATCAAATATAAAATATAAACATATTAAAGTTCATGATTTTGTTATTTCTGGTGTATATGAAATCTGTAAACTTTCCCAGTGATTCTCAGAGACTTGACTACATTAAATGATGAAAAAGAAATAGATCACCTCATTTGTTTAATATCAAGTAGTATTTAAGTTGGGCTTTGATAAATGAAATAAGTATACACACTTCTTTGGGTGGTTTGATTTATTTTAGAATATTGTAAACTTGTAAACTCACTATAATTAGATGAAGTTTCTGCTCATTATACAAATCATCATTTTATGCTAAACTTTTCATTATACCCTTCTGTGTAATGGTTTGTTCTGATAACGGAATAGCAACATGTTATAATTTCATTCCTATACAAGTTTCACAAGTATTTTTAGTGAAAATACAGCAGTAATGGTCTTTATATAGTATTAAGGATTTAAGGAAAAACTTTCCAAATCTGTCTCCCTTCAACTCTCTAATGGATCTCCTTGGTTAAATAGATATTTTATTTGAATTCTTATATTTAATTTGTTGTCAAACATTCCTGAAAGATTTTTGATTTATCTGCCAGAAACATTGATTTCTAATCCTTAAAATTTGAGGGCTAGCTGACATGTATTATATTATTTATAATATTTTGCTATATAGCACATTTTGAACAACAGATGAGAAATTAAGATTTCTGAATTATTCTTTAACACTAATTTATACACGATAATTTTTCTTTAGATCCCTTTAAGCTTGTAATTTTGTCTTGTCCTTCTGTTTGACATTAAATAGTACCATTCTTATTTTGCTATGCAGATTTTGTTATTAATGCATTAGGCTTATATCCATGACAACTAAAACATTTTTTTATATCTGAACGTTTACATTCTCTCAGATAAAGTGTAATGTGTGCATGTGTGTGTGTGCTTGTGTGCTCATTAATGCAACATTCCCCTCAAAGTTAAAATTTTAAAATTCTAATGCTCAAGAGAAATAAATGAAAGCTTTAAAAATATTATCACCGATTATTACTCCTCAATAAGGCTTACTTCTAGTCATAATTTAAGGCAAAATGTATTAGCTGGGTATACTTTTTCTTACCTTTACAGGCCATGAGGATGTTTGAGCCACTTCTTAAAAGGCAACCAGGGATAAAAACAAGGCTTTTCTTGTTGCAGCACGGAGAGAACACAGCATGCATAGAACTTCAGAAGGTTTCTGTTTGCCTCATGCCAGCTTACAAATAACAGAGGGAAGGAGTGTCACTGTTTCCAGAGTGCTTGATTTTATCTGTTTGGACAACAGGGGGAGATGAAGTTATGGCCAGAGGTAAACACTATTAGGAAATCTTCATATCACTTGGTGGCTGAAGAAACTAGTTAAAAATAGCATAAGCCAGAAAGGAAACCAAGTAGTACTTTATGTATCTTAGAATACACATGTTTGTATTCACCCTTACGTTGGAAGTAGTTTGTTTTAAATTTCTAAAAGTCTTCGGTGTCAGAATCTCTGATTAAAAAAATTCTGTAACATGTAAGATTGTTATAGTTGTAAATACATTTCTTTACATGTTGGAAATGTTTGAACATAACTGTTTTATTTTCTATTGAAACTTCCCTCCAGAAGACAATGTATTTCTCTACTCTTCATGCATATAATAAAACTTTATTTTCATTTTAAAATTAAATTTGATTAATCAGAGGAATTAAAAAATATTCAATTACCTCTTGAACATTATATAATGTTGTACAGGTGTTTAACTGCATTGAATAGTAAAAAAATCACCATAACCTTGACTAGACCTCTGGAATTTTCAACTATAGTTACCATTGGAAATTTTGCTAACTATGTTAGTTGTCCTGGATGGCTTTTGAAGTGCTTGAACATCCAGGCCATGTTGTGTAGAAATAGTTAGAAATAGTTAAGTGATCTTAGGAAGTCTAGCAATGAAAAACTAAATTAAGCTTCCCAGACTGTAAATTGTCAAAACATTGTATTTATCTTATTTGGCAAAGAGAGATTTTTAACTTTGAGCTGTCACCATTTAAGCCATCATTGTGTAAAAAAGCCATGAACACAAAATTTGTGTTTTTTTAAATTAAGTTTCTCAATATTTTCCATGGGCATTTGCAAAAAGTTCAGTACAAAGCAATTACATGATTTATCTATTGTAGAAGATATTTTAAGTTGTCCTCATAATTAACAACTTCGTTTTGACAGTACTGAAGAGCACCGACCAATTTTGAAATGAAAATAAAAATCTGAGTAAATTAAACATTTGAACTGTGTAAGGCAGGCCAGTCCTATATCCATATGGCCATATGATGGACAGGCAAGATATTCAACTATTTAAATTGCAACAGACTTTCCAGGACACCCAGGAATAACACTGGTTAGTTGTTATTGCATGTCCTTGTGCATTCTCTCTGCTCTGTTACAGACCAACACTGCTTTTTACTTTTGTCTTTTTAAAGGCTTGGCTTTGCTTACCTGAGGTCTTCTTTATATGTATTCTTCCCAGACTTTCCAAAAAGAGGTTTAGAGAACCTCCTTAATGAAGCTCGTGAGTGTTTCAAGCCTCCTAACCCTGTGTAACCCGATAGCCAGTTGATGCTGTCCCACTCTGCACAAACCAGCTGACCTTTCTGTCCTGCTGCTGCCACCACTGCAGTCCCACTTCACCTTTATCAGACTCAGTGCTCACCCTGTACTGCCAGCTGCCTCCACAGAACTGGGGCTGCCATGATTGCTCAAAATGGCGGCACCATTTGCTCAGGTCTGAGCTATGACTTTTAGAGGGGTTTTGCTTTGGTTTGTCACCAGACTGAGGTTTTTCTAGACTCCTCCTTCCATTCCATGAAATCGAATCTGTATAAGGCAGGCATGATATACTTGGCATGCTTCAAACCTTAAAAATCTCACATTGGGACTGCAGTACAAGAACAAGAAACTTGAATGTTAGAAAACTGAAGGCCAATAATGCTGCCCATTCCCAGAAAACTCCCCATAGACCAACTTTCTCTTCCTACACTGGGGTCTACTGAGCTGCCTAAATGTCAGTTCAAGACGTTCTCTTTTGTGTCCTTGGCCATGCCACAAGCCTGTAGTCACAGCACTGGTAGGAGGGTTCCAATGAGTTCAAGGCCAGCCTAAAGTACCTAGGGACTCTCTGCTTAACAATAAAATGATTATACTTGTCCTCAGTTCTAGGCAAAAGTAATGGAAACAAGTTGCAATACAATCCCTTAATAATTACTCTTCACTGATGGTATTTTTATAGGACATAATCCAGCTGTTCCTTCATTATTTTATCATTGTGCCAATTTGTACCCATTACTTTATGGTTAGATAAATTTGAGTTACATTTTCATAGCACAGAAGTTTTCAAAATAGACTTTCAGTAATAGGAGAGAGACTATCAGTTTGCTTAAATCTACATAGTGATAGAAAAGAAATGCTGCCTGTTTCAAAACCAAACCAAACCTTAACCAAGCAACAAACAAAAACTAAGCAGCATGCTCCAAATAACATGTTGGGAAATAGGTGGTGATGGGGTAAGGTACAAGCTAATATACCTGGAGCAGAACCAGGTTTGGAAGAGCTAGACTTGGGTACACTTCACAAGGTTTATGGGTTTTGTACCTCTGCTTCTACTATACAAATTATGTGATCATAAAATTATATACATATATATACACATACACATTTATGAACATTCATCTACATATATTTGCAAATATCAACAAAGTGAAAGAGAATTACTTATTTTCCTGATTTCTATAGTGGTATTTTGGGTGAAATTCTAAAACACATTTTATTCACTTAAGTTTATGTTTCTTAAAAGCCCAAAACAATGCGTAATCACGCATTTATTTATTTTCAAACACTGCATGCTATTCCATTTTATGTAAATAATAAACACAAGTGTTGGTCATTTTACTGAGCAGTTATATTGTTTCATGTAAGGCAGTATTTCTTATGCAAATTTGGGGATGTTCTTTGAAGTACATATCCAGAAATTAAATTATTGGTTTATGGAGTGTGAAGAGCTTCCTCTACTAGCTATCACTAAGTTGATTTACAATACAGTTGTACCAGTTCACATTCCCAGTAATGCTGCATGAGATTTTTAATCTCCATGTGTCATGCACACACATGGTCAGAATAGTAGAGAATTAACTAGGGGGCTTCCAAACATTAATTTATGAGGAGGCAGCACTCAGAGATCTTAATTATATCATAATCTGAGTGCTGTATATACCTTGTTGTACATTTATGTTTAATTGATTCCTATTACACTGTTTCATGGTAATTATAGCATATGTTATGAATAGCTGACTATGAAAATTACTACTAGAGGTGGGAAATCATGAGTAAGTGGATTATATTGTAGTGATGGAATACATCTTTCACTCATGGCTTGATCTGCTAAAATATGAATCTACCTAAGAATCCAATCATGTATCACCTAAGGCTTGTATTTTCAATTGTTTTTTCAATTATTCCATTAGCCATTTATTTACACAGATGAATAAACCTTGTATCCAAATGTGTTTCTTTACTACCTTACTCAGAACTGCTCTTTTCATATATTGCTTCACTGATTTATTTATTTGATTAACACTAACTTTTCAATATGTTCTTCACATTGATGAACATATTGAGTAGTAAAGACATGGGCTCCACTCTGGGGGCCATCCCCCAATGGAGTATCACAATATAAGATTCAATAATGTCTTTATTTTTTTAAATTGTGGGACATTTTGTAACTCCTTAAAATAAAGTGACAAATCTTTGAAAGAAAAACTAATTGGAATCAATAATGTGACATTCAATTGGCAGTGTATAATTTCACTTATACAGTACATATTAAATTTTTCCTGTCTCTGTTACTTTAAACAAATAAGTAATAACTTGAATATTTGTTCTTGAGTAATAAGGAGAGTAAATTGGATTATCTTTCTTGGTCAATATAAGAAATACATTTGGTGTCCTTTCCTTTTCTTTATGTGTAAAAAAAAGCACTAGTTAAAAGAACCAGAAAGAAGATTCCTGAATACACAGTAGAATCTTCCTGAAATTGAGAGACATGCATCTTGTTCTAGAACAATATATATATATAAATGGTCCCGATTCACCAAGATGATGTAGAAAAGAATTAAATCTGGAGTTCTACGTGCAAAGATTCCACAGGATAAATGGTATTCCATATTCAGAAGATTGTGAAGCACAAGGCAGAAGTTCAGTTCAGCTCATATATATAAACTCTTTTCATATTGTCTTCAACAAAGACTTAGTTGTCAAGTAGTGTTCCTTAATATACAGTATCTTTTATCCATAGTTTGTTTATCTTCTGGTATTTACCTGCTATGTTATGAACAATTAAAACTTTTCATAGCTTCTAATGGTGTTTCCCTGTAACAATTCTAAAGAATATTGTGAGCAGTTCTCACTTATATAAATATTATGCATATTCATATATATGAATGAGAGCAATAGAGAGGCACAGAGATACAGATACAGAGATACAGGGACAGTGAAATTACAAGCAGAAAACTGCACACTACAGAAACATATGTTAAAATTATTTATTTAACTATCTTGTAAGGGATGTGTTTATATATGTGCTTGATAAAGACGAAAGCAAGGAAAGAAAAGACACAGAGAGAATTAAGATAGATGAGAGACACTGAGAGGCAGAAAATATGGATTCAAAGCTATTAACTAGATGAATTAAAAGAAAAGCATTCATCTTCAAAGACTATAACATGCCTCCAATACAACCTCTTTTACCATTTTTGCAATTTATTTATTTCTACCATTATTTTTAAATAATATTTACCTTGTGCCTTGTTCCGTGTGGTCAGTTTTCCCTCCGTCTGTCTGCATCTTCCAATACTGTATTACCAAAATACAGCAACAAGATCTTCAGTAGCTGCAGCCGCCACCCAGCAGTGTCCTGCACATAACTGCTTTTCTTGACAGCAGCCATAGCATGCATGGCCAATGCAACTGCAGTTTAGTGTCAGCTAGAGCACAGCAATTGTTTTCTGCAGTACACTTTCCTCACATTTCCAACTCTGAAAATGAGCATCTCTGAGCTTCTATTTCCCCAGAGAAAGTTCTCAAGAAATTGAGGCAGCTATTGCAATAAATATATATTAAATAAGCAGACAAATTACATTAGAGTTAATTTAGGCTTCTTGGTTCATGCGCTTAGTGTTTACTTCTGATACTGTTTATAGACTAAATCATTGAAAAATATTACTGCAGTTGAAGGATTGGTTGGGTAAATGGTAGTTGAAAGAGTGAGAGGAGTCTTATGTACC